TGTGAGTACATGTGTTTTGCTTGTCTCAACAAACGGCCATCCCGACATAATTATATTGACTTACATTGAATTAATTTTAAAAATCTTAACCACCTTCAAGCGGACTCGAACCTGCGATCTCGTCATCAGAACCGGTAGTCAGTCTTCACGAGACGCCACAGCCGAAAGTTTTTTGGTTTTGGCAATTCAAAGGCAGATGTCGCTGAACACTTAACTTTTTTGAAATTGTCGAGCTGGTAGGCCATCGCTTTAGCATATACTAGTTAATGAACTGGTATTTTTACTGACTGCTTTGGCTTTTCACTCCAGGGTATCTATGCATACACATACATACATTCATAAATGCTTACAACACATTTATGTAATTTTTGCTATTCAAAACTTGTTGGTATTTTATGCGCACAGGATACACAGGATATCATAACACGTTTTGTGTGTAAATTCCTTAGATATTCGTGCAAAGAAAAGCATTGTTCTAAGCTGAATTATGAAACACTTCTTTTCTGTGTTTTTCATACTCGAATTAGAAGCGTGCATAGAATATGAATAAAAGCATAGCTTATGGCTGATTTTAATTAACGGTTTAGAAGCAGCTTGACATAGTAAGTGTCTACCTAAGTACCTAAGTGAAAAATTCGAAAACTTTTCAACAATAAATGTATACTATGTATCTAGTCAACATCGAAAGCTCTTGTTAGAGTACGTTGTACCCAAAAAGACTAAGCACTTATTAACAAATGTTGGACTCTCAAATTGTAGTAGTTATTTACATACTTCTATAACACTGTCTGAGTGTCCGGTGTTGCCACCACTCTGTAGATACTGCTACTAAGTATAACCCGTGTTGATCCCTGAACCACGCAACATACAAAAATTATGAAAATTTATACCCTGGTAAATACTGCAAAACCACCAACTGTAATTCTTACACGAAAAGTTTCTCATAAAAAACTTTGTTTATCTGGTTTTTGATGGCTGCGTGAAATTGTAGCTCCCTCAACAATTTATTTAAATAAAGATGTTATAGCGATTAGCTCAGTCGATTGTTTTTCCCTCAAAAGGAGCTTTCTTTAATAGCTTTTTTTACCAGCTTTCTTGAATTACGAAACTCCGTCCATCCTTCCAAATTTTGTTCTGAACCTGAAACCTACATAAGAAAACAGCACCAAAAACTATTTACTCTGACAGCTAAATGAGAAATATTTTCTACAGTTTAAGTAATGACATCTCCTTAAGTCTTTCATAAGCCTGGTGGGTTCTCAGAATCCAGACTTATTTTCGAGAGATTACTATTATAATCTTTACTATTATAGAAATAGCTTTAGACTTTCAGGAGAATTTGTTATCCGGAATTACTCTTCGATTTTATGCTTGGAAAGGAATCTGATGCTCTCAGGTTGGCAGTGGCAGATTTTCAGTCTTGTCCGGCCTAGGCCCTATATGTATTACCAGCCGCCCTTTCTCGGGCTCCCGTTATTCGGGTACTCAATAAAAATTTACTTTTTTGGCGACTTTTATCGAAGTATATTATTGATAAAGTAAAACTGATTACTGCATTGCTTAGGACTAACATTTGTCGTTTTATACCAGGAATGCCCAGCGCTGGCAACATTTTTGGACTTGCT